AATTATAAAAATAATTTTACCAAATTCGAAGGAACACTACATTTTTATAATTTCTGTCTCCCCTTTTCCTGCAAAACTTTTGGCTGTCTTTTATGGTTAAATTAATATCATCACTTGAATTATATATATCATAATTAATAAAATAACTACAACTAAAAACGAGGTAATACAGTATGTCATTTTCATTTATTAAAAATTAACAGACACACACACATACACAAACATACATATATTTTGGCCTCCAAAAAAAAGTAACGTATACAAAATTATTAATTGTGTATATATAAGACAATATTTTTAAATTAAATAGCTACTACAATAATTTTGAATTTATATTTGATAAGTGATTTAAGTATACTCATATAATAAGTATTTTAATTACAGCCTTACTAAAATATATTTTTCTTCAAAAATTCAAAACAATTCCTACAATTGTAGCACTCCTTACACATGTTATCAGGACCCAAAATTTGTTATTTAATACTTTTTAAGTATTATATAACAAAATCTTTGACAACCATTTTATTAAATTAAATTGTTGTTATTATGCCACGTGAGACATTAATTGAGTGAGTATATTTAGGTCACTTATTGAATCCAAATCTTTCATTATTTCATAACATGACAAATCTATTTAAGATATTAACTACACCCTCCATTCAAAAATATAAGGTATTTTTAACCAAATCTCACCTCCCCAATAAAGTTCTTACCTACTTTCAAACTAACCATATATTTTCATATTTATCCCTATTAAATATCCTATAATAAATATAAAGTCACCATTAATAGGGGCTTTTTTAAAAAAAAGAAAATGATTATATCTTAAAAGACTAAAAATGTTTTATATTTTTGAACATCCAAATCCTTAAAAAATGCCTTACATTTTTAAATGAAGGGAGTATTTTTGAATGAAAGGAGTATCTTGCTACACATATTATTTAATAAACTTAATTATTAAGGAAGTGTAAAAGGCTAAATAGTGTACATATAGGTTTTAAAACTTTAAGTCAAGTGCAAATAATTTTTTATATTTAAAATTCGGCAAGTAATTGATGCAAACTTTTAAACATGTTCGTTTTCGCTCTTTCCTAATTGCAATGTAAAAGCTTTTCTCGCATTATTGCTTTTGAAATCATGCATAATTAAATTTGTGCGCGTAATTAACTGTTATGTCATTATGTTAATAATATTGTAAAATAATGTCATAATATATATTTTCTCAGTTTTCTTTTTCTATTGCTCAAAGATATATTTCTATTGGATGCAATCTTATTCAAGTAGGTATGGTTTGGCACTAAGTGTAGACATTTCTCTCTCTCTCTATCTCTAGTGAGAGAGAGAGAGAGTGTGTGTGTGTGTGGACATCTCTTTTAATGAAAATTCAAACGATGAACCTCACACAATTTCAACCAACATACACAATAAAACAAAGTTGCTTAAGCATAATAATTACTCCTCTGGTTCTCTTTATAGGGTACTTCATTATTTTTTATATTCATCTTTACCTTTATATCCATGTTAAATAGTTTTTTTTTCCTATTAAGGGGTAAAGGTGCAAACTTATTGAATTTTAAGATAGGGTTAATTAGGTTTAAGATTTTAATTGATTTTGATAAAATATGCTGGAAGTAACTTATAAATAGGATTAGAAAAAAGGATCATGTCTAAAATTTAAAAAATTAGACTAAATTACCCTTGTAATTAAATGAACAAATTTGTCTTGTAAAAAAAAATTAATTTTATAAGGGACAATTGGGGGAAAAATATACTAATGTGTCTTGAGTTTTGTAGTTTTTTTTAAAACATATGGTAATTATTTTTCTTAGGATAAATGTGCAAATTATTCCTTGAACTTTAAATCCAATAGCATCATATACTCTGAACTCGTTAATTGTGTAACTTATTTCTTCAACTTCTAAAAATAGTGTAATCTAGCCTTTACCATAACAAATAATTTTGATTGTTAGTGAATCAAAAAATAATAGGAAGAATCTCAATAATTATAGAAAAGCACCAAAAAAATTTTGAGACCTTTTTTATAATTTTTTGGGACCCAAATACATTACCACAATTGAAGTAATTAAACATGTTAATAACAGAAGCTTCTTCAAAAAAGTCTAGGAATAAGCTATGGCTTAATTATTGATGGAGCGAGTGCATAAACGTAAAATTTTGAAGGAGATTTCCATCTCACGTTTTAAATGTTAAAACAATGAAACATAATGCAGTATTTAAATTCCCTCTGGCCTATAAAAGGTTGACATGTTTTAAATTTGTATATGATTAGCTAATTGAACATAGTTTAAAAAGTACTCTTTTCGATTTCTATTATAATCCACCTCTAACTATCTATTAAGATTAATAAATTAAGTAGTCAAGTTATTAATTTTTCTTAAAAATAAAATAAATTATGAAATTGTTTGCTCAATTTATAGAACTGTCACATTTTTATACCATCAGTTTTTTTTTTTGTTTTACATTGATTAGCGACATAAAATGTCTTTTTATCTGGTAGTACATTTTTAAATATATATTACATTCTCTCTTGTAATTAATTAATTTAAATATGTATAATATTTAAAAAATGAAATTATTATCCTATTCAAATAACGTATACTGAGGATAAAAAAATTCTTTTAAAAAGCCCCTACAATGGAAACCAGAATGGGAATAGACTAATATGATCAATTAGGTACTGTGAATATATAGTGGCTGTATAGTCTCTCTCTCTCTCTCTCTCTCACAACACAACGCAACACAACGCAACCCACACGCCCCGTGGCATCCTTTATCTTTCTCTCGTGCATATATTGGGACCAGAGAAAACGACGTGCTCCCCACCTGGCCTGGCCACGCGCACATTACCCCACAAAACCCTAATTTCCAAGGCCCTCTAAAAGAAGCGTTTATTGTCGTTATTATGATATCAACCCCATCAATTCATTTATTTACATTCTTAAGCAACTAAAAGTTACAACTTAAAAAAAAAAAAAAAGTATGTATTACAGGTCACTGTAGGATTTGAATTTTGAACATACGCATGTTCTTAGTTCTTAATTCTCACAGAGAATATGAATGAATATCGCTTGCTCATCAGTTACATCAGTACTCTAGCTTGATGATGATGTGTAATCATATAATTGAATTATATTCAATTAATTGTGAAATAGAGTTAAAATAAATTAAAAAAATTACTGATTTCAAAACTTATTTTATCTAGTTTTTAAAATTTGAACACATAACACTCTTTTAAAATTATATTAGTGAATTATATCTTATTAATTAAAGAGCAAATATGTCAATGCTATGGTTTTAAATGTAGGAATTCTTCTAAGTAATGAAGGTGACATTATCATTAAGGCAACTAGCCCTTACTTATACTTGATTATGTTTGAATTTAAATTAATAATATTTAAAATTAGTTGATTGCTATATATTTAGGGGGAGAGAGAGAAAGTGTGTTAAGGAAATTCATTATGAACTTTAATTTTACTGGAAAAGAGAGTCATATGTATATAACTATATATATGCACTTTTTGTTAATCCATGCATAAATAGTAAGTTTAAATTTTTTTTTTTCTACAACCGCCCTACTAAAAATTGAACATGCACATAGATCTATTAATTATTGTTCTTTTATTTTTTCTTTATTTTAATATATTCTAACTGGATTTAAATCATCTCCATACTCTCTTTAATACATTTCTTTCTATCCAATCTTATTCATTCATTTAATTGTTCATTTAATTTAATTATTTCTAATTGCTAATTATGACATTAAAATAAATAAATTATTCATTTTTATCACTTAAATGCTTTTGAAATAAGTTTATAATGCTTATTTATGATACTTATTAAATTAGTAGTATATTTATTTTAATTCCATACTCCCTCCAGACTATAGTATTTGTCATTATTAATTAATTCATGCTTTACAAAAAATATTAATTAAAACCTTATTTTCTTAAAAATATCCACATCTTTTAATTTATACCCTTAAGTTTTCCTAATAATGCATGCATATCCTTTAAATCTAGAGCATTTAAAGACAATAAATTAGGGGGAAAAAGCAAAAGTATAAATGGAGAAAAACATAAAATTTACTCAATTCTCTATATTTTTTTACTAAGAGGTGCTTCTAAAAAGTGACTTATATTATAATTTGGAGGGAGTAATTAACTATTTGACACCATCAAATCAAATGAATAATTAAATGAATGAATATAATTGGATATGAAGGGATAAATATATCAAGAGAGAGTATAGATAGAATTCAAATCCATCATAACCAAGCTAGTTTATACCAGAACCAAGTCCCACATTAGCTTTTTTTTATAGTTCTTTCAAATTTACTGTGTGCTACTTTTTAGTGTCAAATAATGTATGTGTGTGTATATATATATATAAAAGTTCGAGCCTCTCACACGGAGAACTTTGGTTAAATTAATCAATTCCTTCTCTCTGTTTTTTTTTTTTTTTGTCTTTCTTTTTAGATGGCTTCTTATTTGTTGTCTTAAGTTATGCTTGATTCTGTGAGGAGAGGTTTCGCATCTGTTCCATGTTTTGTCCACTGATATCACTTGTGGAAAAATAGACAGAAAAAAAAATGAATAATTTAAATAAATAAATAAATAAACAAACAAAAAGAAACCATTAAGCACGCTTGTTGTTCATTGTCTCTCATTTCTCCCTGTCATCTCATCCTTCTCGCTCACTGGTTTCATTAATTTGATTCCCTTTCAGCAAACAATTGAATCTAATTCTCTCTTCTCATCTCTCTCTCTCTCTCTCGGGGTTAGGTTATGCAAGAGAGAAGAAGAACCCTAGCTAGGTCTCTCATCTCTATCTCTGACTTTTTGTTCCATCTGATAAATTTTCTGAGAATTATATCAAAAACAAGAGCCAACATAGTTATAATTTAGATCCGTCGACTAGTTCATCACCATTTGAGATCGATCAGTTCCTTTTCTGGGTCGATCTTAATTTCTGGGTTTTGATCCGTCGTCGTGGTCTTCTTCTTTCTTTCTTTGTTTCGTTCAATTATTACCTTAACCTATCGTCAGCTAGCAATTCTGGCTAATCCTTGGTGGACCGGTCAGGTGGGGTTGCCTGGTGTTGACCCAGCGGCCAATTCACCGGCGGTGAACAAACGGCGCAACACCGACCTATCTATCAACGAATTAAGCAGCGGGAAGAACAGTGCCGGCGATAACAGAGACGAAGACGATGATAGAGACGAACCCAAAGAAGGTGCAGTTGAGGTCGGAACTCGCAGACCTCGAGGCCGGCCACCGGGTTCGAAGAACAAGCCGAAACCGCCCATCTTCGTGACACGAGACAGCCCAAATGCTCTCCGGAGCCACGTCATGGAGGTCGCCGGAGGATCCGATGTAGCCGAAAGCGTAGCTCAGTTCGCTCGCCGCCGTCAACGTGGCGTTTGTGTTCTCAGTGGAAGTGGCTCCGTTGCCAACGTCACTCTTCGTCAACCTGCAGCTCCCGGAGCTCTTTTAGCACTCCATGGAAGGTTCGAGATTCTATCCCTAGCCGGAGCCTTCTTGCCTGGACCGGCGCCACCCGGATCCACTGGACTCACCGTATACCTCGCCGGAGGACAGGGTCAGATCGTGGGCGGAAGCGTGGTGGGGTCACTAGTAGCAGCAGGACCAGTGATGGTCATTGCTGCCACTTTTGCTAATGCAACTTATGAGAGACTTCCTCTTGATGATGAAGATGAAGCCGCGGCCGCAGGGCAAGGCGGAGGCAGCAGCGGAGGTGGAGGCTCGTCCCCGCCACCGGCGGGGATCGGAAGTGGCGGGGGCCACTTGCAGGGTGGGATTCCAGATCCTTCATCACTTCCTTTGTATAATCTGCCACCAAATCTGCTTCCTAATGGTGGTGGTAGTGGACAGGTAGGTCATCATGAAGCTCTTGCTTGGGCAGCTCATGGAAGACAACCTTACTAGAGAAGTAATCTTCAGAGTTTCAGATCTATTAATCAATCAATGAATTTAATTTTCTGATGATGATATGCTTTAATTTAATTTGCTGTGTAGGAATCGAATTATGGTAAAATAGAATTGAGGAAAGATTAAATAATAATAAAAATTAGATTAATTACTGGAATATATATAGTGTGAAGAAGATCAGAAAGAACTATCTATGAAGAAGATGAAGAAAAGCATGTGTTTATATATAATCCATATATGTATATGGTGATGAATTATGAACTCTCTTTCTTTAATTTGTCTCTTCTCTCTGCGTTTGGAATAAATTAATTAAAAAGAAATGATGATCGGAGTCTCTATATATATATATATTGTCTAATTTACTATATTTCTGAATAATTATATTTAATGGTAACATGTGTAAATCCTAGGTGATCATATCTTTTCTTAATAACTTCAAAATTTTTATATTTTTCTTCTCTAGATAGCTTTTAGTGAAGCACTTTTTATAATTTCTTGGCTCTGTATGGATGACTTGATGGGGTGGTCATCATTACTTAGACTTGGAAGATGTGATGAAGTTATTTAATTAATTAATTAACTGAAGAGAATAAGCATCATCAATAATGCATGGTAAATACTGGTTTTAAATTTCAAGCTAACTATTGTGAGATTCTTAATTATTAATAGTGATTACAGACCTTCTTTAATCTCCCTCTCCATTTTAATTAATTTGTTTCTTCCATTGATAAGAATGAGTCACTGTTAGGGTTTTTGAACAACATCATTTGCTACAGGAGCTGAATCACTGATTTTGGGGCCTATCCCACAAACAAATTCTGCAGTCTATTTTCAGAGAGAAATATTGGAAAGAGATTATATATACCAACAATCACTTAATTCTCAGCTAAAAATACAGAGTCAAATCTAACAGTGAGTGTATATATGACTATTTAATTCAACAAAACATTAATTCAGGGAGTGCATGTATAACAAGTTAATTATAACCCTAGGGTTAAAAATTAAGTCACTTGCATAGATGAAAATGGGTTTCTTTATTTCTCCACTATATATTATTATTATTATTATTTTAATTAAAGAGACATTCGCTTTGTCGCCTATAGGATACCAAAGCATCACACAAATTAAACTAAAGTAGTGTAACTCTGCTAAGCGCCGAAGCATCTCTCACACTTCTTCTCTGCTTCTTCAAGTCTCTCTCTCTTTACACAAACTGGCAAGTTGTTTAAGTGTGAGAAAATTAATCTAATAAAATTAAATTTAATAATTAATATAAAATAAAAATAAATAGAAAAGACCCTTCAATTTAAATTTTGAAGTTTTGAATTAAGACTGCTCGGGCCGGTTTCTATTCACCAGTCTGCATATGGATATGGACATGCCTATCTAATCTCTTAAATGTATTTGGATGTGATGACGTGATGATGAAAATGGCAGAAACGAGACGGTTCTGGGATATAGCAGACCCACGTGCTGTAGGGCAGAAATAATAAGTCCCAGCAAGACACTCACAAATGAATGTGTATTCAGGAAGGTTCATGTGTGTGACAGAATGGGCGATTTTCGATCTCTCTTTAAACAAGTAAGATTACCTTTTTGTGCATGTGTATATATCCTCTCCCTCTCTCTCATACAATTACACGCTAACTTTGATTGAAAACTTTGGCGTTTCCAAGGGGGAAGAGAGAGAGGGGGAGAGACAGAAGCTGTAATTGGCAGCATGTGCCTGGTTCAAAGTTTCTCTTCTTTATTTAATATATAATAGAAATAAATATATGACTCGAATAATGTTTCATTGGCTTACTTAATAACAATAGGATTGTAATTGTGGCTTGTATCCACTGTATATCTTGTCCTTTGGGTTGATTCAGGGGTCATTGCTTGACAAGAAAATTAAATCCACAATATATATATGCTGTGGTTCAATTAGAACTTAGTAGTTTGTTTAACCAGTGAAATTGGGGAAAGGAACAATATAGAAAGTTGGAGCCATTACACTGCTGTTGCTAAAGGAGACAAAAGAGTCTAAGAGAGATTTTCTTTCTGACTTATAAGAGCACATTGGAAGCGTTTTGTATGTATGGGAGCACTTCTAAAACACTCCTCTGTAAACATAAGTTGCCAAGTTTCGTGTTTTTATCCGAGCATTTTTTATAAGGGTGTTTTTCTTTTTCAAAAAAACAGGTTGAGGATTAGCTAGAGCCTTATGATTGAAACAAAATTACCTTATGGTTTTAGTTTAGATAAAATGAAAAAAAGGAAGAATTATGTTGAAATCCTATATGAAAAAATTAATTATTGTGAGGTTAGTTAATAACTAACATAAGGTGATTTACAACACAGTATTGTAGATCACTTTATATCAGTTGTTAGTGTACTTCGTAATAATTAATTTCTTTGTGTGATATTTTTATGTAATTTTTTTTAAAAACATACTTTTTGCACGTAACAATTTAAGTTAACTTGAGTGGTAGGAATTCTTTGTTCTCCAAACAAGTAGTTGATGTTTGATTCGCAACTTTTGTTCTCTAGCAAGCTTAGTTGGGAGGAGTTTACTGATCTTTACCCTCGAAATTAGTATTTATTTTAATTGGTCAGCACACGAGCGATGCTCCTAATCCCATGAACAAAAATATATTTTAAATAGTTAATGAAAGGGAAAAAAAAGATCATTAACCATTTTTCCTGACAAAAAAGATTTGTTCAACAGGAAATTAAAGAACTTGGTCACCTCAAACATAGTTCAAACACTGGGAATAGAGAAAATTACTTATGAGAATTACTCTCAGGGTTTCACAATATAATTAAGGCTACAGGGGAGAAAAATTTTGTTTCATTTTACATATCTTTGTAGAAGTCCAAAGCAGCATTTATCAACATTTTTTTTCATAATATAAATTTATCTACTCAAGTAATTTCAAAGAGCATTATTTTATCAAGTTTTAGGGGTAAATTTGGCAATGTAATCATATTTCTAAAAATTAATTACATTTTTTTAAAAAAATATGCGCAGATAGATTTCTTAAAAATATATTTTGAAATAGAGGAAGTAGTATTAATATATCAGGTTAGCTTGAATTTGTTTAAAAATAGATGTTATCTAGGGTAATAAGAATGAGAAGTTGTAATTAGGGTTCAAACATTCCTTATATAATGTAGAAAAATTAAATACAAGAATTGAATTGAAAATATGTTTTGATACAAAATTATCAAAATGCCCTTTATTTTTTAAGATATGGAGTGTACTTAAAATCCTAACATAACTTTTCATTTTATAAATGCATACTTGTTAATTACTGTCAAAACTTAACAATACGTACGTTCTATATAGTTAATCTTGTTGTCTTGTTTTCATATGAAGTGGATTTATTAAAACCCTAGTATAATTTATCATTTCAATAATACAAACTTGTAAATTCATTTTGTAAACTTGTTAACAATACATTATAGATATTCAATCTCATTCACTTGTTGCAATATGAAATCGATTTATTAAAATCTTAACATAAGTTGTCATTTCACTAATCGGAACTTGTTAAGAGTATCTTATAATTCAATTTTGTTGACTAGTTACAATATGAGGCGCATTTATTAACACCTTTAACATAACTTGTCATTTGCATATATTCACTACTGCATAAAGGGTTTTTAACAATAATTATTTTAAACATTTTACGCATATTATTAGGAGGACCATGAAGCATATCTTGGTTATTTAATTTCCTATTAAAACATATTTTTAATTCAGTCCTTATCCTGTAATACATTTTCAGATTCTATTAATTCTAATTTAAAATTAAACCCTTAAAGATGATCCTTTAATGATATATATATATATAGTTTAGTATTACAATTTAATAAATAAGTAAATCAGACAAAAGAACAATGGATAATGAAGATAATTTAGGGATAGAAATTAAACGTAATTAATTGATAAAATGTTGATCTTCGTGTACGTATGTCATATACTGAACAAATAAAATTGTTCCATTTTAACGTAACATGGAAGATTACGATTTTTTTTTTTTAATTAGTTGGAACTGATCTGTAAGCAACATGAAGTCTGCTAAAAGACAAGCCCTTAAAATCTGGTTGAATTATGGGGGTTCGATGTTTAACTTTAAGTGATTTGAAAGTGTGTTTAGAATTTTTTATTTGGAATTTTCCATGTGGTAGATCCTATTTATATAAGAAATTTATAAAATGTTACCTTTTTTCTTCAAAAAAAAAATTATGACAATACTATATTCGATGACAATTAGATCTTTATTATGAATTATCTCCCTTAATCAAATTTTGCCCATAAATTAAAGATGGCCTAATAATCAAGGTATTAATTAAAAGATAAATATTTTTAGGGAGGAATAAAAAATATAAATTTTGATATTTGAATTTTTTTAAAATTATTAGTATACTCCTTTGATTCAAAACAATTAAATTTCAATAATTTATTTACTCAGCAAGTTAATTTTTATAAGTTAAAGTTCAATAATTGAATGGATGTTTTGAAAATAATTTATGGACTAAAAACTTTATCTACCCATATTTTTAATATCAAAAGGCTGAGATTCAATCCAATTGGTGTTAGATTTTTAGGCCAATTTATTTTGAAAGATTATAACCATCTATTTTGATTTGTAGCTTGTTTTTAAGTTATCTATCTTCTATTACACTCAGTGAAATAATAGCAGTTTGAAATTTGCATAGAATATTTTATGCACTGAAAAAAAGTTACATAGAATAATAATGCAACAGAATAATAGATGACAAATTAAAACGAAAGATACAAATATTTTCTTGATTGGACTAAGCAAATTGCACTTAATCTTTTGTCAAAAACACATAATTATGTGTGTCCATGTAAACAATTAATTTTAGTTTTAAATGTTAAATCAATTAGAAATGATTAAAGTCAGACAAAATAGTTAATATGTCATGCTTTTACGGAGCAATAAATGAATATATAATTTTAATATGTCCTCTCATGTCTGAAACATTCTAAAAGAATAATCCTTTTATAAAAATAGTTAATATTAATATATAGTAGTGTACATAAGTGATTGGATTGGACAAAGAGCCAAGTGGTTAATATTAAATATTATTGAATATAGCTACATGATTTAACAAACTATACGCAATGAGAAGCTTTAAGCACTACGAATTAATTAGAACTCTTAAATTTTAAACATAAAAAGTCACATTATATTCAAAAATGGAATTTTAATTTAATTTAAAGCCCTATTACTATTAGCAACTTGAATTGATTTTTACGGACATGTTCGGAAATAGTTGATTCAATCATTAACATAAATATTTTTTC